ATGGAGATCGTGTGCTCGATGCCAGTCTTGACCAATGCAAAATCAAGCGTGAGTCCCTGGCCCTTGTCGCACGTGGCGGATCCAGGCGCTCGCACAATGGTAGCATTCCATTTGGCGGGCCACTCTGTCGCTGCGAGCTGCTCAGGTGTCATATTCCAATCGGCCAGGATGATCCAAGGGTCCGTGAGCATAGTAACGAAGGCTCCCAGCGAGAGTAGCTCATCGTGCACTGCACCCTCGATCTGCCTGTGGGGTTCCAGATACGCTGCAATAGCGACCAGGTTGCCAGAGCGTCTGTGCCATACCATGGGCGTGAAGCCGCGGAACGGGTCGGGCCTGCGCTGGGAGATGGCCAGGTAGCGGAGGTGGTTGAACGTTGTGGCCTGGACATGGTACCTGGAAAGGATAATCTCGCCACCCGTGTTGCCTCCGTCTGATCTGCTGGTCGGCGTGGCCGTAGTCGATGATATCCTCCAGCCGTCTGCTGCTAGCTTGTCGTGGATGAGAGGCGCTTTTCCATGCGAGATGTGTGTTTCAACCAATGCCACCATCTGATATTGTTTGCCTGGCCCTGCCAGCCATTTCTCCGACTGTGGCCCCCACTGAGTAATGTTGGAGAAGAACAGGGAGTGATCTGACGGCGTGGGCTTCGTAGGGCATTCGTCTTGGTAGAGGGGTCTGGGGTCGGGTCTCGGGCTGCTGGGCTTCCATGAGCCTTTCCCTGCGGTCAAGTCGACAGCTTTCGCCATCTCATCGCCCCCTACCAAGGACTGCGTCTTGGGCGGGGCGGCATCAGGGTTTGCCATTGGCGAAGGCCCCCCTGGTTCCTGTACCACATGCATGTCGACAGCTTGGGCCGTCTCATCGCTCCCTACCGAGGACAGCGTCTCGGGCGGAGCGGCATCAGGGTCGGCGCGCGTGGCACGCTGCGGCTGCCCTGGGTCCCATGCCACTGGGTCGACGGACTGTGCCGCCTCATCGCCCCCTACCGAGGACAGCGTCTCGGGCGCGGCGGTAGCGTACTGGTCTGTGGGTGCGAAATCGATGTGGGCGTCCAACTCGGCCAGCTCGTCGAACGGGTCGAGGACTGCGTCCATTGTGTTGATGATCGGTGGGTTGTCGTAGCTCTTGGTCTCTGACGGTAGGCGTCCCGTCTCACCATTCCGTCCAGGGTCGGGTTGTAGGCGGCTAAAGAGGCTGCTGCGCTCCAGCCGCGGCGGTCGCAGTGGGCTTGCGCATCTGGCTGAGCATCTTCTGTGCCTTGTCTTCGAGGTCGGGGTCCTTGTTGATCGCTGGTACAGGCTGTGCGGCAAAGCTGCCGTCAGAAGTAGCGCCAGCAGCAGGTGCGGGAGGCTCATCGCTTGGCGCCGCTGGCGAAGAGGCCGCAGTGCCCTCAGCGTCCGCTGCGGCTGCCGCTGGGGGTTCGCCTGCTGCCGCCGAGGCGGCGGGCGGTGGTCCACCTCCCTCTCGGGCGTGTCCATCCTCGTCGGACCGCTGTCGCTTGGAGGCGAAGCGCGTGCGCATGGTGCTGGCCTCTGCGCGGAGCTGGCTGATGCGGCTGGCGGTGTTGCCGAAGAGCTCAGTGACCTTGGCCTTGAGCTCCGTGGCGAAGCGCTGTTGGAGGGATTCCCATGCCTGGCGGTCGCTGTCGTCGATGTCGAGGCCTTGGAGATCGACCGCCGAACCCGCTTCGATGGATATGTCGCCGTCCTCGAGGAGGCTGGTGAGGTTGAACGTCGGGTTCTGCTGCGAGGCCGTGGGAGTAGCTGTGCCGCCCTTGCGAGCGACTTGGAGTGCATCGAGAGCCGCTTGGGCCTCTGCTTGGGCTTCTGCCAACTTGTAGGCGGCCTCCTCCGACGCCGCCTTGCGCTCGGTGTACCAGCTGAGCGCCTTTTGCTCGCTCTCGAGCAGCCTCTCCAGGTTGTTCTTGCAGCGGCGCTCCGTAGCCTGGGCGCGGCTGTAGATGTCGTTGAGGTCGGCTGGCTTCTGCGGCTGGGGCGGCGGAATCTGCGACTTGATGCCGTCGATGGCTGCCTTGTCGATGTGAGGGGCGATCGCCTGGAGCTCCGCAAGGATGTCCTCTGCGGAGCGCGCCTTGGGGGTGTCGTTCTTGCTGGCCCACCAATCGTCCTCTTGGTCCTTGCCATTGCCTTTGCCGCGGCGGCGGCGGGACTTGGGCCATGAAGACCACGGTTCCCATCCACCCTCGGGGCTGGGCTGCTGGGTGCAGTTGGACTCGGCCTGGGCTGCGGCTGTGGCGCGGGCCGCCCAAGCACCTTGAACTGGAGGCGGGGTATCTGTCCACGGCGCCAAGGCTTTGCTGCACCAGTAGCACGTCTGCTTGGTCTTCCAGTTCCAGGCGTACGAGCAGGAGTAGCACTTGACGTAGGCGCTGCGCTGCTGCGGAGGCGCCATGGACGAGCTGAGGAACAGAGAAAGCTCACCTGCGGGCTGCAGGAGGCACACGGAGAGTTGAACAAAGCTGTCGGGCTCAAGAGCCCTGGCACTGGCCGCGGACTAGCGGTATCCACTTGTTCCCCTGTGGAACTAGGCATCTTGAGCCAAAATGGCTACGGAGGGGGAACGGCGGAGGAGGAGGAGGAGGAGGAGGAGGAGGAGGAGGAGGAGGAGGAGGAGGGGGGGAGGGGGGGGGGGAAAGGCGGAGGGCGGGGGGGAGTGGGCCTTCGGGAGGCGTTCCCACTGCACCCCTGGCGCCTACGGGAGCCCCTCTCCCCCCGCAGAGCGAAAGCCGACGCCGACGAAACACGACATCGGAGACCTGCGTTCGACCATCACCCAGGATCGGGGAGACGTAAGACTCGGGTACGGGGGACTCGGGTCGGCCTGACGGGGCCATCATAAAAATGACGAGACCCAATCTGAAACCTGACGCGAACTCCCGCTGCAGACACCCCACGGAAACAGGACCGTCAAAATCCAGGACGAGCTCGTCAATAAATGTCGGGGAACTTCTGACCAGTGTCAATCCAAACCCAAGTCAGTCAAGCCTTGCAGAATCCTGTAAGATCCTGCACCCAAACCCGGGTCAATGCGAAGAATCCGGCAGGATCCTGCACGCAAGCCCGGGTCAGTGCGACCCTGGCCCTGCAGGACCCTGCAAGATCGGGCGCTCTGGAAGACCCCCGTTTGCACTGACCCCCGTCGCAAGGCTCCCGAAAATGTCGGCTAACCCGAGTTCTGGCTTACTGCGGGGTGCAGATTAGCCGAGGCTCGCGGGGCGCGGGCGGCGGGCGATTCCCTCCCGAGGGCCGAGTCGGGACGCAGGCCCGCGAGGCGGGGTTTCGCAAGCGGTTCGCGGCGGGACGGCTGGCGGGTCTGGCTGTGCGCCGAGGACTGGTGACAGGAGTCAGGTCGGGCATGTCCTCCGACAGAGAGATTTGAGACGAAAAATCAAACATAGTCAAAACATACTCGAACAACTCTCCAAAATGATCAAGCAATAGTCCCCAGACTATTTGTTTCCTGAGTTCAAGTGTTCCTCCTGTAGAGGGCCAGGCCCGATCTCAGCCAAGAACAACCCATGAGAAAAGACAAACTCGCACCGCGGAGCCCGACCTCAGCCACGCCCCCGAGGGCGAAGTAACACCTCTACGGTCGGGAGCGTTGTGTCGCCGAGGCGGCCCCGGCGGCTCGGGACGTTGACGCCTCGGGACCGTGAAGTGAATAGCGTGTCGCACCGAGGCGAGCGATGGGCCAGAGCCTGCGGCACGATACGCCACCCGAGAATTCCCGACCGTAATACCCTTGGGCTCGGTCGCTCCGATCTCATGCCGTCTTCCGAACCCGCCTGCCTGCCCCATCCCAACAGAGAACTCCAATGTCCCAGCGAAAGCGCCCCGCGAGGCCAAGGCCTCCTGTTCCGATTCCTGCCCTCGTGGTCCTCTCAATCCCTTCCCGCCTCTCCTGCTTAGTGGTGTCGGCAGGGTGGGGGGGGCTGAAGCTCAGGGGGGGACAAAACGACCTGGATGAATCCGCGATGCGCCTTCGATAGCGAAACAGGACGTCCCCAGAGAGGGTGGGGTACCCAAGCGCTGATCTGCGACGAAGGGGCGGTTGGAGGAGGTGATGCGCCATTCCCACTTGGGGACCAACATGAACACAACTGCCACTGCTCCCCGGACCTCTCCCGGCGTGCGCTCTGAGCAGAATTCCGCAGGGAATCCAGCCGCGGCGACGAGGGCGCTGCGGCAGGGGCGGCGATTGCGGCACAGTGGGGGCCCGACCTCGAGGAACCTTCCACGAGAAACCCAACCCTGAGACCCCAGGACGTTCATCAATTTTTGGCGTGGGAGCGTTACGCATTCCATGGCGAAACCATCGAAATTCAAGAAGCCCAGGGCACCCTAGAGGCAAGCAGGGTGTTTCTTGGCGTGGGACTCCACTGAATCTCTATTTCCCCAGACCCCCTGGGCCAGGCCCCACTTGCCGTTGTCCCTGATCAGCTACAGCCAACCCGTCTAGGAAGGATGCGCAACAAGGACGCAAGGGCCCTGGACGCCCATCTCGAAGCTTTTCGAACAGGGCGCGGCCAACGAAAGTCGCCAGGGATGGACCGAGGAGGCAAGGATGCAAGGGGTACCCCCTTGAGAACGTTGCTCATACTTACTGCGCGGGCTGACTTAGAAGACGGAAGAACTTCATGAACATAAATATTTGGCGCTCCGCGCGGACTTCTTGGCTCTGCGCTGGACCCCCTCCCTAGCGCGCGGAACGCGCCAGGGGCGGCGCCAGAGGCACCGGCAGGGGGGCCACAACGCGGATCCAAGAACTCCGCGCGGAGCGCCGAAAGTTTATGTTCATGCCGTTTTTCCTGCTTCGGTGAAGGAGGATGTGGGATGGGAGGAGGAGGAGGAGGAGGAGGAGGAGGAGGAGGAGGAGGAGGAGGAGGAGGAGGAGGAGTAGGAGAGGGAGGAGGAGGAGGAGGAGGAGGAGGAGGAGGAGGAGGAGGAGGAGGAGGACGCAGGAAGAGGACGGAGGACCATGTCGTGAATGCTGTCGTAGACGAGCTGCACCTCGTCCGGCGCCGCGCCCTCGGGCGTGCGCTCCTCGGCCTGCGTGCGCGCCGAGGTGCGGCTGCGCCGCGCGCGCAGCCCCTCGGGAGCGCGGAGCGCACGGCACCGCCCTCCCCCTGCGCACTTCTTTGGTTGACCCACAAAGGGCGGTCCAGCTGAAAGGGGGTGGTGCAATACAGTCGGGGCGTTGACCTAAGGAACCCTAAATAAGGAACGAGGCCCCTTTTTTTTCTCCATAAGTTAAACTTCGATTTCCTTTCGAAAACATCAGGAACACCTGAGGCAAGCTGTGAAACACTTAAGGAACGCGGAGCCCCTCCCCAACGAAAAGGGTTCCTTCTTCAGGGTCCCGGCTGTAGATTTGGGGCTGTTGTTTTGCGAATGTGTTGCGCTGGAGAACTGTACTGCGCTGTCCTGCAATTGATGCATTGCACGCGAAAGCCCAGCAATACATTCGCGCACCGGAATGTATTGCACGCCGCAAGTATATTGCAACTCCACACATCTATTGCCCCAAGTCCGCCGACCCCTTGTGGGTCTCCAGGCGTGTGAGATTGGGAGCCCGGCGGCGGCTGCCTCCGCGACGAGGGCGTCCAGGGCGAGCGCGAGGAGCTCGGCCTCCTCTGGCCGGCGCGCCTCGGCTCGGCGCAAGGTGTGCCTGCGGGCGGCACGGGCTCGCAGCCGGCGTCGCCGTCGTGGCCGTCGTGGCCGTCGTCGACGCCGTCGTGCTCCTCGTCGGTGATTCTCCTCCTCCTCCTCCTCATCCTCCTCCGCCCCCTAACCCCCTACCACCTTGTCCGCGTTTTTCTGGTCCTCGTCCCCCCACTGCTCCTCGTCCTTGTCCTGGCCTTCGTCGTCGTTCTCGTCCTCGTGTCCCTTCATCTCGTCCTCTTCCTCCTCCTCCTCCTCCTCCTCCTACTACTACTCCTCGTCATGATCATCATCATCATCAGCATCATCATCAGGATCATCATAATCATCATAATCATCATGATCATCATCACCACCATGAACATCCTCATCGTCCGAAGCATCATCATCATCATCATCATCATCATCATCATCATCCTCATCCTCATCCTCATCCCCATCCTTATCCTCATCCTCATCCTCATCCTCATCCTCATCATCATCATCATCGTAATCCGCATCATCATCATCAGCATCATCCTCATCCTCATCCTCATCCTCATCCTCATCATCACCATCATCATCATCAGCATCATCATCATCAGCCTGCTTCTCCTTCTAGTCATTATCGCGTTGTTCCTGCTTCTCCTCCACATGCTTTTCCAACTCCTTACTCCCTCTTCCCTCCCTGCTTCACACCTTCCCTCCTCCGCCTCCTTCTCCTGCCCCCTCTCATCCTCCTAGTCGTAGTCGTAGTCGTAGTCGCAGGCGTAGGCATAGGCGTCGACGTCGTCGTCACGGTTGTCGTCGTCGTCGTTGTCGTTCTCGTCGCCGTCGCTGTCGCCTCGTCGTCTTTCTCCTCCTCGTCTTCGTCCATGGCCTCACCAGAGCAACGGACAGCAAGAGCAACGTGCTATCGCGCGCAGTGCACGCAAAGGGGAAACCACGCTCAAGCGACACATGCGCTGTTCATGACACGACCTGGGTCATACTGGCCGATTTACCCC